ACAACAACTATCGCAGCACCAACATCCCACGCACTGTCAGCAGTCTTCTGCAGCTGCACATACACATGCAGTACATGCAGCACATTCTCATGCACATATAACGCATAACGCACAGCATGCACAGCATCATGATGTACAGCACCATTCAATGACTGCAGGTTCAGTGCGCGTTGGTGGTGGCATTTCTTCACTATCCGGTGTACCTGGACGAGGTGGGTCAACGTTATCAACAATCAGTCTTGGTGGTGGAAATGTTAGTGGTACCGCATATCAATCGCTCTATACTCATCATCAGGTAGTGTAGTGGCGAAATGCGTGTTGTGGGTGGGCTTAAGTGTTAAATGTACCAAAAAACAAAAAAAAAACAAATTTAATAATAAATAGAATCATTCTAATTGTTGTAATTGTGACTCTCTATTAAACATTTACGTATGTGTGGTGTTATCGGAATAATAATAATTATTTTCATTTTTCATTGTTACTTTAATTTTGAACTTATAATTCTCAGTATGTTCAATGTATTACAAAGCATGCCATGTTGTGCTCTTCTTATTTTATCATCATGTTTGAAAAACTCTCACTGCTACTAGGCAATCTATAAACGAATGTTTTTATATATAAATTCATAAAATCTTACTTGATTTATTTTTATATTCTTTTTAGATTTGTGTTTTGATATATATTCTCGACAAATTTTATTGCCCGAAAACACCTTATGAACATTTCAACTCATTTATGACAGATTCTAATACGTTTTAAGTCCTTTTTGTTTTAATTAATTGGATGTAGTGCAAATTTTTTAACATATCTATGTTAATGATTTATAAGGGATTGCCTTTTCATTTCTTATCATCAAAATTTTCATTAACAGTCATTAACATCCAAACCACATTAACATATCCACAATCCATTCCAAGCAAAATTATAGAACTTCTATATAAATTATTTAGTCTATATATATATATATATATATCTTTCATTAAAAACAGTAGCAAACTATTTTGATAAAACTTCAGTATATATTGTATATACTCATAGTGCAAAAAAATATTTTTTTTTATAAATGGTATAGTATCTATATAATCTTTAATGATTGTCTCACAAAGCTTAGGTGTTATATGAGAAAATAAAATAGTATAATTAAACAGATTGATAGACAGAAAATATGGTTGAACAAAATAAGAAATACGACGGTCATAGTCCTCTCTGAGTAATTTTAATTTAAAAACCTTTTTTGTTTGCTTGAATAATTATAATAGTTTTTAATGGTTAAAATTATTGGTCTCAAAATTGAAAACTATCTTTAGAAAATTAAATAATAATTAATAGAGCGATTTCGAACAGTAGTGAACTACAACAACAAAAATTATTTTTATACCATTTTAATTAATTGAATTTTTGACTGGAATTATTTCTTGTATTTAATTATTCGTAAATAATTTTTTTGAGACTAAAAGTACTAAAGATTGTAAAAGTAAAAATAGTCATTACTGTTATATGGGCGTTAAAATCAAATTTAATAACTGAATTTAACTAAAAAACTAAATTATATTGACATGTAGCCCAATGAGATTAGTACCAAGTAATTAACTAAAATTAGTTGTCGAATTAACGTGCACAGAAATCAGGATCGTAATTAAATTTAATTTTTGTATTTTAAATTTACTATAATTATTTTGAGAACCTACTTTGGAATAAACTGAATGAATCATATTCAATTATTTTCGATTTCTTTATAAGCAGTGGATTAATACAACTTATCAGTTAACTGTTAGATAAATGTAATTTGTATTTGCATTTCAGCCTTATCTTCACCCAAGCTTTAAAGTTAAATCGCAAAATCAAACTAACAATGATTCTTTGATGTCTATTAGAACTTAATGTTATAACGTTACGATGTATGAACAGCTAAGTTAGAATTCAAACATTTTAATCGAACAAATAAAATGTTTGAGCTGCTCAAATTGCAAATATGCTTTAGATTTCATTTTATTACGATTTTGTGTTATACGAATACGTATGAACGCAATAGAATGTTCGAACATTTTGCAACGGCTCGATCATTTAAATATCGAATAGCGCGAAGCTATATTTCAAGCTTTAGTGTCTATATAAATAATCTCTTGTGGAATTCTTTAAATGATAAGTTCTTTATATATAATATTTTTTTGTTATTCTCTTTCATATTAAATTTCTAAAGTTCCTTAATTATAAGGTCTACTACTTTCGTGATTATTTTAACTGTTTAAGTAATGGTTTGCTACTGTTTTATGTTGTAAAAATGTTTAAATATTCCAAAAATTTTATGTTAAATGAAATTATTAAGCATTTTTGTTACTTTTTTTAATTTAGCCCCATCTAAGACGCGACGATAACCTAGCAAAGCCCAGCTGAAAATCGTTCCGTGATAATCAACATTCTAAACAACAAAAAAATAGGTCAATGAAGTATAAAACAACAACAAAAACAACAAAAAGAAAGTTACATAATAAAAATATAAATGAACAGCAGCAGCAATATCAACAACAACTTTATCATAGTAAAGATAAATTTACTACAGAAAACAATAAAATCTTTGCCAAAAAAGTAAAATATAAGAAGTTTTTGTATAAAACACAAGAACTCAAGGATCAACAACAACAAGAGCATCTTCATAAAACCATAGAAAAGTTAGCACTATTGCGTACTGTTGAAAAGGATGAGGATACTAGTGAGAGTAGCACCATAACTACGACAACATCACCAAATTCTTATGAAGCTGAGGATGAAAATGAAAGTGAAGAAACTCGTCGTGGTTACAAAAGAATGCCGCGTCCAAATGAAAATCTCTTACAAGTACAAAATTTCTTGAATTGTTTTAGTAAACATAATTTAATAACAACAACGACTACTTCTGATATTGCAATAGCAGCAACAACAACAACAATATTTACCAATTGTAATGCAATCACAACACTGACCAGAAACAATACAATAACAAAGTTTACTAACAGTAATGCAATAACAACATTTGCACATGATAATGCAACAACTGCATTTACTTACAATACCGCTAGAACAACAAATGTATACAAAACTGCCAGAACCTTAAGCACTCCCACAAAAATCTTTGAAGAAACAAATTATGAGAAAAAATATTTCAATGAAAAACAAGTTGAAATTCTGCATACAAAAAATAATAAAAAAAAAATTCCTAATCAAGATAAACCTATAATGTGTATGGCTGCATCAGTTCCCAGTGCAACAACTACAACAAGTGATTTAAGCGAACTAAACTCATCAAACGCTACGCTGCGCAGTTGGCGCAACATGAAAAAAGCATATATACATTCAATTACAGGAACATCAACAACAAATGATATTAAAGTTAATAGCACAACAGCAGTAGCAACAATAACAGCAACAGCGGCAGCACTGACTTTGAACGCCTCGATAACAACACCAACAACTTCCACTACAACAAAAACAAGTGCATTTTCTAGTAAATCAAATTCAATGACCACAAAGCCTGCAAAGTTCACAATATCACCAAAATTCTTGCACAAACCACGCAACAAGCTGAAAACTTTTTCATTAGCAACAAATGTGCCTACACATGTTGCAGTTGAGAAAGACATATTGCAACAACAAACACAACAATTATTCTATGAAGATTCAAATGCAAAGTTTAAAGACTTTTCAATAGATTCATTGCTAAATAAATAGAAATAATATAAATAATAATAATATAATATTAATAATTTTAGGCATTGCATGTAAAATATATTATATTAATTTATAAAAAGAATTGAATAAACATTTAACATTGACATAGAAATAACGATAAAACGATCTGAGTTAGAAAAAGATAAGTAGTTGAAAAAAATAATTTTTCAAAGTTCGAATTATTTCATACATTATTTGTTTATTTTTTGTGTAGACCACATTATTGCTGTTTTTTTTATCAATAATCTGAAATCTATTTCTTAGATAAATAAGACTTTTTTGCATATGAAAATTTTGTATTTAGGTTAAGGTTAGCTTCTTTTATATATACAAAAATTTCATTTAGAATTTCCTATGCAATTTGTTTTTATCACTTATATATATTTTAAAATTTTTTTTTTATTCTTATATATATATAGTTTTATTTGACAACCATAAAACCTGTTCCTCAAAGTAATAACATAGAATATAAGCATAATAATGTTAATAGAATTATATTGTTAAATTATATTAGCATAGCAATAAATACTAATATAAATATTAAATAATTTTTTTATGTAATAATTTTGTTTATTTAAGTTTAAAATATAAGCTATTTAATATTATACAAGTCGTAATATAAGCTAGAAATAAATGTATTGTTTATATATGTTAAACAAATTTTTTAAGTTATTATATATTCTGCAAAAATATTATTTAAATGTTGAAAATGCAATAGTTTAAGAAATTCAATGAATGAAATTGAATAAATAATTGTATATAAGCAAAACGCGGGAGAAATTTTAACATTTACCATTATAAGCCAAGAACAAGAAATAAAAGAAATTTATTAAAATTAATTATCCTTTTTGTATTTATAAAACATGAATATTGAAATTAAGTGTATTCATAAAGGAATTTTCACTTTTAATATTAGAAGAAAAAATTAATATTAAAACAAATAGCGTGAGCAAATAAACTTAAAATAAAAGAATTAAACGATGATAACTCTAATTCGTCCATTTGTCCATTTGTGGTGTTTCCTTTTCTGTATACAATATTATAGTATATATAAAATTAATTATTTTTGCCAAAAACGCTACGCTTTATTATAATCACAAAGAAGCTGTTTTTTTTAAATTTAGAAGGATTCGAATAGCAAAAACAAAACAAGCACAAAAATTTTGTTAATTAGGATCTTAATTTTGATCTTAGAAAATATTCGAATTTCTTTTTAATTAGTTTATAGTCCGTATATAATTTGTTTGGACTGACAGAACTCATATCTGTCAAATTAGAAGCGATGACTAATAGTGCAGTCTACAAGTAGCCAAGGCTGCACAAATTTTCAGTGCTCAAGTTTCAGGTTTTCTGTCATTTTTTTACTTTTATTTAGTGATACCAACCAAAGCACTTGTCACGCTTTAAATTAGAACTTATATAGCTAACAGTTTATATATATATATTGTTCATTTGTGGTTTTTCCCTTCTCATTTTTTGCGTAAAAAGAAACAGAATCATGTTTATAGATATCTGCATAATATTTTTTCTATTTCAAATAAGATATTTCCTAAGAATTAATCTAAGTTAAAAAGTAATTTAGACGAATCACTTTTTTGAATATTTCAAAGAGATTATTTGTTTATTTGTTTATTTTTTTTTTATTTATTTATTTTTGTTAATAGAAACTTTAACAAAAAAAATCAAAAATTGATAAAAGATTTATGTTCGCATAATGAGAAAATATTTCTTTGAAATTTTTTGTAACAATTTACCAAGTTATAAACTCATTAATAATGGAATCGCTTTCTTTCATATTCAAGGTGATTTAATAAATATTAGATACCAGGCAAGTATGTTAGCATGTTAAAGTTAAGAAAGGAAATTGTGGTAAAACAAGATTGATTACTGCTTAGTGCGCAGCAGAGTGTTATATTTTAAACTATTTTTGAATGTGATCATTTAAGTAATTGGAACTGATAACTTATAGTCAACGATAGTCTAGTATCGCGTAAGAGTTATGACCAGGGACACTATATTATGATCAAAAATTATATTAAAGGACACTAGGAGGTTGTAAGACGACTGATATTGATGACGTTTTTTTTGTTATATAGTATTTGTTTAAATTGTGTTTATATAAGTAATTGGATTAGCAGTTTAGAGACTTACATAGTTAAATTTGTACAAAGATTTGTTGAAAGAGATCAGGATGAACTCAGACGATACTGCCGATTAACATAAGATTGCAAAGTTTGACCTCAATAACATAAATCAAAAATAAAAGTAGTGTTTAAAAATTTAAAATGAGAGCATATTATAATATTTTTTAATAAAAAAATGTATTCAGTTAAATTGTCTTTAACTACAAATGTAGAAAGAAAAATTAAGTAGTTTTACTCCCAGTACAATTTTATATAAAATATTTCTTGCTATGAAATACAATACATGCTAATTGCATCTCAGAGTAAAAAACAAAGAAAGCTTTCTACTGTACCATACGTTTTTTTTTTAAAGAATGGACAACAAAATTTTTAGATATGATAACAGAGACAAGATGTACCTGAATCCATTACCAAAGCGTTTATTTTTTTTTTTTTTTTTGCGTTAAGAAGTAATGCGTTTATTGGTAATGCATTTAATGGAATAAATAATAATGCAAAATAGAAATAAGAGAGGATATAATAAATAAGCATTTAGAACTACTAATATAAATATTTATATGATTCATTCGTAAGTTAATTTGACCAATTATACGTTATAACAAATTAGGAACCCATAAATATTTACGGTTAATATAAATATCAATCAATCAATCAATCAATCCAGTACGTTCCCAGGGGAACATTGGGCCATAACGAACTTTTTCCAACTGTCACGATTTTTTGCCAGGGTTTTAATTTCTCCAAAGGTTTTTCCGCTTGCTTGGACTTCTTTCTCCAGTGTTCGCTTCCACGTTTGCTTGGGCCTACCAGGTCTTCTGCTTCCTTGAGGATTCCATGTTAATGTTTGTTTGCAGATTTCATTTGGTGCCTTCCTCAAAGTGTGCCCGATCCATTGCCATTTACGCTTTTTGATTTCGTTTGCTATAGGAAGTTGGCGGTATCTTAACCATAGTTCGGAATTTCTAATAGTGCGGGGCCACCAAATTTTCAGAATTCTCCTAAGGCATTTATTTATAAAAGTTTGAAGTTTATGAATCAGGTAATACTTTTGTAATATTAGTAAAAGATTTTAATATATGAAAATAATTATAAATTAAAAATTATTTATTAATCATTTATTAGTGAAAAAATACAAAAATAAACTTAAAGCTAAGTCAAATTAAAATTTGCTGATACTGCTCAAAAAAACTCAAAAGTTATTACAATATATATACATATATATTTTAATAGTAAAACTGTAACTTAAAACTGATAGTATTGTAGAATGAATTCGATATACAGGTCCGATAAGAAGCAATACTTATAGTGATTATATTAAAGTACTGATTGTAGAACAATTTTAGTTAATTGAATGGTTCGTACCCGTGGACCCGGAACTTCTTGTATTTTCAGGCAATGTTTTCAGTTAATTATTTTAATTAGTTAATTTCAATAAATTAATTACATTTTTGTTCTTGTCTTTTCTTCGCTATTCGACTTCTAACTTTTAAATAGTTTTTTTTCGTCATTAAGACGCATCACTCTCGGCAAGAAAAAATTAATATTAAACAAAAAAATAATTTAATGGATTGAAGGAGTAGAATTTGAAAACAGATCTGAAGTTATTTAGAGATCTTTAAATTCACGCTACAGTAATTGTCGAACGAAGTAGTCTATTGAGATAGTTCAATGCAAAGCGCTAATTAAAGTTATTACTTTTGTTGTTCATATTCCACAATAGTATTGCCGTTTAAAGATAAAAAGTAGTAGTTGTCTAAATATTTAAATATATTTTGTATTTCTTTTAATTTACTTTTTTAAATAAAAAGAAATATGTTAAAAATAAAGTTTTTAAAAGTTAGACCAAGCCAACAAAAAAATATTATAGAAGGGTTCGAACATTAATTAAGAAACAACAAAAATTTTGATTGATTTATTGAAATTTGACTGACCATACAACTCATCAGCAGTGATCTTAGGAAATATTCGAATTTTTATTTAATAAGTTTATAGTCCGTATATAATTTGTTAGACTACAAGTGCTAGGCTTAAAACTCGTGCCTGTCAAATTCGAAACGTGTTTTCCATAAATAGCTAAGACTGCTTGACAAAATATTATAATAATGAATTATGGATTAAGAGTTATATTTTTTATTCCCTCTTCTTGCTTGTATATTTCAGAATCACTATAATTATTAGGTTGAGAGGATCTTGTACTGTGACCTTCATTGTAATCACAGCGAAAGTTTTATGGAATTAAAGTATTTTTAAAGTATATTTTTTTCAATAAAGTGAGTATGAAATTTTGTTTACCAAATCTTATTACTCCGTAGGTCAGCCAAATATTTCATTCTTCTGTGTATCACTGTAAAGCACGTTCCCGCTACGTATTTTACAGACTACTTTCTTTCAAAACATACTAATTCCAGTGAAGTGAATTTCCAGATTTATAAGGTAATAATGCAATTCCATAGTGTCCTAAAAAAGTTCGTATAATAATTCATAAATTATTTTGACACACAATTGCACAATTCTGTAAACAATTACATTAAAGGACCCAGTCAACGATTTTAGTTGTGTCAATTAAGGTATACAGACCTAACATAATCTGCTCTGATTCTCTTGTTGTTCTTTGCTCTTCTAAATCACAAAAAAAAATGTTGACTAAATTTTTTATCATATCATAAACTTAATTTACTAAACCAGTTGAACTGGAGTATACAACAGACTAATTGCAGTGATTATTGGGTTCTGGTCTGTACGAGACCAGGCCGCCAAAATGGAAATCCTTCACAACACTTACTGACACAGTTACGTCCAGCTGGAGGAAAAGAAAACTATTTTTCACTGCCTCAATACACGTGCTGCCCTCTAGCGATAGAATTCAGCTAAGTCAGGTAAACTATTATTCAACAATCT